TTTACATTTACTAACTATTTTACAAATTTTTTTTTTAATTGCAGCCGTGGAAGGAGACTTTCTTAGGTATCTTGAAGCGTTTGCGCCATTCCTTTATGGTGCACTATCAAACCATGAAGAATACCAGCTTTGTTCAATTGCAGTTGGACTTATCGGAGATATATGTCGTGCGCTCCAAGAACAATCATTACCCTATTGCGATACTTTTATGAATGTTCTGTTACAAAACCTTCAGGTTAATCAGTAAAATTATTTATACTTATCGAGTGATTCCTTATACTAGTAATGACCTTATTTATTTGGATTACAGAGTCCCGTGTTAAATAGGAACGTCAAACCCGCAATTCTTTCATGCTTTGGTGATATTGCTCTCGCCATAGGTGGTAGATTCGAAGTATACTTGGAAATAGTAATGCTGGTGCTCTTACAAGCCAGTAATATGCGTGCTGATGGTGTAAATGTGATGGTATTCAAAAATTCAAAAATTCAATATATTAATTTATTTATTTAGCTTATTTAATTAACTTTTATTCTTTTTTATAGACTAATTATGACATGATAGATTACGTCATTGCATTAAGAGAGGGAATACTGGAAGCATATGTTGGCATTGTACAAGGCCTAAAGTCTGGTGAAAAAGGTTAGTGTGTTTGTATGAAAATAATTACGTTGTATAAATGTTTCTTCTGACCAAAGATTTGTCATTTTATAGCTGATTTGCTTATGCGATATATTGATCAAATATTCAATTTCATGAATATGACTTGGAATGATCATGAAAAGACTGAAATTATCATTCGAAGCATGATTGGCCTAATTGGGTTTGTGATTTACTAACTATAAACCTTTTTATGAATACAAACTTAAGTTGGCTTATTTTTTAGTGATTTGGCGGAAGCATTCCAAAATGGTCAGATTAAGCAATGGTTCCAGTACGATTGTGTTACGCAGGTGTTAAGAGAAGGTAGAAACAATCGTAATTTGCCTAACGGAACAAGAGAAGTCACTCGATGGGCTAAAGAGGTAGGATTGGTGGAAGTCATTGCTGTTTAAATAATGAGTTAAATATAATTAACATCAATTTTGTATTTATTTAGATGGTCAAGCGAGCAACTCAATAAATTCTCGGTTATAAGTATGAACATTGTATATCCCTGTCCATACCAATTCACCTTCCTGTCACCACGGAAGTATATCCCTGCAAAACATTCGGGTCGATTCCATCACTGCTTTCTCGCATGGTGAACAATGATGATCCAAAACATACTTCTAACGTTCCTCTGTGATTTCATCCCAACCCATTTTCAAATCCATTTTCAAACCCACACAACCCCTTTTTATTAACCCCCCCTTTAGAACATTGTTTCATTCAACCCATTTCATTAAGTCGTATTAGTATTTGGTCGCCCCTTTTTTATTTCCCCTTTATTGATCCCATGTAACGCTTTTTCACAATTTGTGAAACTTTTTTAAAGAATTTTATGTAATTTCAAACCACCTCACACACATTCAATTCGATACATATTGTTTTCTAAATCTTAAGTTTTGATTTGATTTTAATAAAACGAGTATTTTTAAAGAA